AGTTCTAAATTTAAAAAATGATGGCTACCGTCACATAGCAATAAAGTAACAAAAACTGACTAAATGTAACAGAGTTAGTGCAATGGCATAAAGTTTCATGGTATCCGTTTGAATGTACAATTCTGTAAATATGCACAAGCTGGAGAAGTTAAAAGACACCTCTTTAATTATATTTCGGATATGAACATGTCTACTTCTACAGTAGTAGCAATTTTTCTTTCGACATTCAAGCTTTTCAATGCGAATGAATCTTTCAGAACGGTATTGTGAACCGGTTCAATTGATTCATTGAAAAGATCCGACTCAAAAGCACGACTCGCTACGGTTGGTATTTCGCTGCGATATTCTCACGTGTGTCGAAAATATGAACTTAGAGAGAATACCAAACGAGTCGTGTATAAGAATGAAGTTCAAATGTTAGGAAATACGTGTGCAGTTAACATTTCGTCGTTTGTCAAAGGAGACGATGTCCAAGATTCAACTAACGTTACCGGAGGAAATTTGGATCCATGTGTTTGGATTTCTCTCGGATCGCGACAAATTAAATGTTCGTTTAAGCTGCACGTACTTTAAGAGACTGATCGACCACTGGTCCTTATGGAAAGACAGCGTTGTCGTCCTCCAAAAGCGCTACGACTCACATTTCTGGAAAACTCTTTGTCAAAGGAAAATCAAGTCTATTGTTGTTCAAAAGGCAACTGCAAAAGTCTTGCAACAAACTGTGGCTTGGCTGCCGTGGATCGGTTCAGTGACTCTGGTTCAGTGCAGTGATGGCACAGCGCTGGTGACACTGGGGGCTTTAAAACACCTCCAGAGGCTTGTCATCCGTCAGTGTTGCTGTCGGAGTCTGACCAGCTCACTGCTGTCTTTGAGACAACTGACTCATCTCTGCTTGTGTGAGGTCAAGAGAGCCTCGATATCGGAGATAAGTGCTGCAGTTTCGCAACTTGTCAATCTTACCACACTGAAGTACCATGACGATAAAAATCCTATCCATAAAACTGCCCTTCATGGCATGCTGGGGCGTCTGCCCAACTTAAAACACCTTTCCTTGAGATTGGGGCCAAAGTATGGGATTCTGCCTGGTGATTATTTTTGTCCAACTAAAGCATATGGACATCCAGGTATGTATGCTTTGAGGAAAGAAAAATAAGAGGAAGAAATGAAGAAAGGATTTTCACTTTGTAGAGTCATCACCCATCATCCCATCTTGTCTTTCAC